CAGGGACCAGCCTCTCCCTCAGCCCCAGCCGACATGTACCCTGCACCCACCTGAGGTGGTTCTTGACCTCCTCATGGCTAAGCTGGGAGCATCAGACATGGGGACTAAAGTGGATTAATTCCCATCCACATCACAAACCCAGGCAAGACAGCACAGTCCAGGGGTGGCCCAGGTCTGCTGCTCTTTGGGTGAGAAAATGCCTCATCCACGGCACATCCTAAGCAACGCAGTGCTCTCCGGCAGCCCCAGCAGGGCTCCGCCAGAAGTGTCTTCCCTGTGGAACGAGGGGAGTGGTGTGAGAAGTTCCCCGAGGCACGTCTACCCTGGTTCCAGCACCTCTGGGCTGCAGTCACGTTCAGCTGGCCTGGGGCGTGGGGTGCTTCCAACATGGGGTGCACAAGGGCACTCCGGTCTGAACCTCCAGAAGATGCCTGCAAGCCCTTAAGAGGGGAGGTGAGATTTCTTTGAAAGGTTTCAAAACTTTTTATTGAATATTTATGTACTACAAAAGGGTACATATGGCATCTATGTAAGATATTAAAAAGAGCAGTAAATCAGACACTCAATACGCCCATGCCCTCCCCCAACCTATTAACTTCCTTCTTCTGCCCCAAAGCAATCATATCCCCATACTTGTGTTTATCATTTTGGAGTGGGTTTGAGCTCTCAACTTAGAGACTTCATAAATATTGTGAAACGGTCCCTTCCACCGGCATCAGCAAGGAGAAGGCGGGGCGGGGGTGGGACCTGGCCTTCCCTCCATTCTGCTCACACCTCAGGCAGAGGGTCCGCTGCTTCGCGGAGGGGACTGGCTTTTCCAACGATGTGCTTGACTCACTCAGTGAAACAAGTGAGTGCACATCCCCCCATTTAAACAGGCCCCTCAGGCAACAGCAGCTGCTGACATCACATTCGTCTCTGTGCAGGTTGAACTGCCACATGGCCCTGCCAGCTGAGGCCGCCACACTTACCCCGGACACCTGCTCTCCCCGAGGTGCAGACTGCCGAGTTTACAGACCTCTGCGACCCTGGCAGCTTTGTGCAGGTGAGAAGCGGGGGTCAGTCACAGGTTAGAAATAAGAATGTTACAACATCTGCATAATATGCTAGGCTGAGCCATTTTCAGATACGATGCAGTACTGCTGTTGTACATCATTACGTAACCTTCTAAGGTAAACTCCATGCACAAAACAGCCAGGGCAGCAGAAGAGCAAAACTGACTCTGAAGCCCTAACCCAGTGGTTCTCAACCTTCTGGCCCTTTAACACAGTTCCTCATGTTGTGACCCAACCATAAAATTATTTTCGTTGCTACTTCATCACCGTAATGTCGCTACTGTTATGAATCATCATGTAAATATCCGATATGCAGGATGGTCTTAGGCGACCCCTGTGAAAGGGTCGTTCGACTGCCAAAGGGGTCGCGACCCACAGGTTGAGAACCGCAGCCCTAACCGGTTTGGCTCAGTGGATAGAGCGTTGGCCTGCAGACTGAAAGGTCCCAGATTCGATTCCGGTCAAGGGCATGTACCTTGGTTGCGGGCACATTCCAGTAGGAGGTGTGCAGGAGGCGACTGATCGATGTTTCTTTCTCATCAATGTTTCTGACTCTCTATCCCTCTCTCTTCCTCTCTGTAAAAAATCAATAAAATATATTTTAAAAAAGAAATGGTAGCTCTTGAAAAAAAAACTGACTCTGAAAAGGAATGAAATGGAAATATTAAGACAGAAAAATCAGCCACCTGGGCTTCTGGACTGGGCTTCCCCCACCTGGGGGCACAGCACTCCTCTGAAGGCGGGAGGGGGGCCAGAAGAGACCAAGTGATGTCAGGAGTTGGGACCCCCTTTCCCCACACAGACCTCTTTGCCTGAAATCCCAGCTCTACTAGAGGACCCAGCATGTAGCTCACGGGGTTCTCCATCAGATACTACTGTATCCAGCAGGCCCCTGTATTCACATGGTTTTGTCAAATGCTCCTACACACAGACTGCAGCTTCAGAACTCAAGTTTTAGTCTGAGCCAGAAAGCTGGTTTCGACATTTTTGGACCATCCCTTTATGTGGACTAGGGCAGTGGTCGGCAAACTCATTAGTCAACAGAGCCAAATATCCACAGTACAACGGCTGAAATTTCTTTTGAGAGCCAAGCTTTTTAAACCTAAACTATATAGGTAGGTACATTGTTATTAACTTAATTACCGTATTTGCCGGCGTATAAGACTATTTTTTGGCCCTGAAAAATATGCCTCCAAGTGGGGGGTCGGCTT